GCTGCCTTTCATGGTGTGTTGTTTTCTCCACAGCTGACTTTGGCCTCTCTGCTCAGCTCACCCCTGAGCAGAGGAGACAGAGCTCCGTGGCCAGCACTTCTGGGTGGATGGCGCCTGAAGTCGTGACAGGTCACCCGTACGGCCCCAAAATGGACATATGGTCTTTTGGAATTGTGGGCATCGAAATGGTGGAACGAGAAGTTCCTTCCTGGAATGAAACTCTTGTCTCGGTAAGGTGCAAATACTCACTGATCCTGCTGACTTTCTCACCCGTCCCATGGTCTGTGTGCCACTGGACAAAATGCCATTGCCATCTGCTGGCACTACTTCCACCAAGGTCCCCTTCTAAAATTGTCCCTGCAGCACACCAGCATCTGCTGTAGGTTTGGTTACATCAGCAGGCAAGTGGCAAGTACCCAGTTCAGAAACGTGCCATTTTGGCCTGCAGCCCTGCTGGCCTCCGTGACATTCTTCTTTTGCTTTTTGAAAATTCTTGGAGCTGGTCTCTGAAGAAGAATTTTTCAGTGGAGAGTTCAGCAGTGTGATAAATATCCTTTGAGATGGAGTTGGGACCTTCCCGGTTTCAATTTTCTAGAAAAAGAAAAAATGAAAATAAAGAAAAGGAAATGGAAAGGAAAAGCAGAAAAGAAGAGAAAAGGGACGAGAAAAAAAGAAAAAGGAATAGGATAAGGAAAAGGGGGAGGAAGAGGAAGGGAAAAGGGAAGGGAAAAGGAAAGAGAAAGAAGGAAAATGAAAATGAAAATGAAAAGGAAAAGGAAAAGGAAAATATAAAATTAAACTTAAATTGAAAATAAAAATAAAATCAGGAAAAGAAAAAGAAAAAGAAAAAGAAAAAGAAAAAGAAAAAGAAAAAGAAACAGAAAAAGAAAAAGAAAAATAATAGAACCAAAAGGAAAAGTAAACAGAAAATACAAAAATCAAAGTAGTTCTGCTTGCTTTTTCCTTTATTAAACAAAGCACATCCATTTTTGTCCAAATTCTAGCATCTTTTCCAAATCCTGTGGGAACTCTAAACCTTCAGGCTTTCAAGTCATCTGTACATTGTTCTGTCATGTGTCTGGGTGGCCTGGATAAGTTCAGGATGTGTTTTTCTCCAGCTGCAGTTAGAATTGTGTGCCAAAGCCCCGGCTGTTTCTTGGTACTTGAACAGGAGGATGAGCCTGCAGTCAGGTGCCTGGGGCTGGGATCCAAGGGGTGCGGTTGACGCCGGTGCTGTTCCTTTAGCACAGGAGCAGGGCCATCCCTGGGTTGCACAGCGCTAGTGACAGTGAGGACTCCCCACCATGCCCACTAGCTGAGCTCAGCTGCAGAGGGACGGGATAAAACCTTCTTTTTGACCTCTGCTGCTATGGGAAAAGTGAAGGAAGTTTTCCTCTGGCTTGAAGAGGATCAAAGTCTCCTTGGTCAGCATCTATTTCATTGCTACCAGCACTGGTGGGCGTTTTCATGCAGACTCCTAGGCCTCTCCCCACTGTCATTTCTGTCTGTTTTAAATGCTTTCTGCATCTGCATTTCTTTCAACAGAACAAAAAGCTTGATGATTTTTGTTTCATGGAAGCTGTGCTTGAGGGACCAACAAGCATGGCAGTGATCCCTTTTGTGCAATAATCCTTGGAAATAGTATAGCTAGACCAAATTCCCCCTCCCAAATGGCCTGTCAAGCTATTCACACAAGCTGGTGTGAATCCTCAGAGAAGCAAAAGCTGCATTTGGTGATGGAGTTCTCATTAACCAGAGAACTAGTCAGTGAAAATCAGCTGCCAAGGCAAGATCTGCAGGATGTTGGAAAAGCTGGGGCTGCATCGGTGTTTAAGTTTTTTATTGGTATAGGAAAGTCATCTCTGCCTCTCTGCCAGGTTAAAAAATGCCACTGCAGAGTGGAGCTGGAACAATGGGCTCTGGGAGAGCAGTTGCAGATGGGAAAGAAGCAGGTGGAGCCTCTTTTTTTTTTTTTTCTCCAGCCTCAACTCCTGATAAACATAAGAGGGACACCAAAGCTGCAGCAGCCCAACCTATTCTCGCTTTTGCTGCATGACTTCCTGAACTGCTGCCTGCAGACAGACGAGGCACAGCGCTGGTCTGCTGAGGAGCTCCTGCAGGTAAAATGCCAAGGGGCTGCAGGTGAAACAGTGTCTGAGGGATGGGCTCCTCCTCCGCTGAAATCCAAGGCATCAGATGTGCCCCCCTCCTCCTCACCTCCAATCTTCCTTCTGTTCAAATGGAAATGGCGAGGAATTCTAGCAGGACTGGCAGGGACCTGTAAAGCTCATGTGGTCCAAGTGCCCTGCAATGAGCAGGGACATCTTTAAAGGGATCAGGATGTCCAGAGCCCTCTCCCACCTGCCTGGAATGGTTCCAGGGACAGGGCACCTACAAGCTCTTAGGACAACCTGTGCTAGTGTTGTTTGTGTGTCCAAGGAAACAAGTTCTTCCTTAGACTTCTTCTGATTCCATCCCCTTTTTCTTTAAACATATTAGCCCATGTCCTGTTGTCACTGGACCTATTCAAAAAGATGTCCTGCACACCCTCAGAAGCCACTCTGAAGTTTTGGAAAGTGGCTAGAAAGTCTCCCTGGGGCCTGTTCTTCTCCAGGCTGAATAACTCCAGCTCTCTCAGCCTGGCAGAGAAAGCACCATTTCTAGAGCCCTGCTAGGGCAAAAGTCCCATCAAAATGAAGAAAGAAGAATCAATGGATGAGTGGGATTCTGGGCCAGGTTTGCCTGTGATGGCAAGGTCCTGCACGTGAAGATGGAGGTGCAGATGCCCCCATTGGTCCCCTTTCTGGGTCTGTCTGGGGACCAGAGGAATCCTGATTGAGGCTGTGAAGCATTGAGCTTGGAAAGTCATGGTTAATTGAGTTTTGTTGATTTCTTTTTTTCCCTTTTGGGCAGCATCCACTTGTAACATTAACTGAGCCTGTGTCCAGCCTGGTGCCGCTGATCATTTCAGTGAAGAGGAGGAAAGAGGAGAAAACATCAGGACCAGCGTAGAGTCAGCTTGTAGACTAGGATTGTAGAGTAGGGTTATAGAGTAGGATTCTGAACTAGGATTATAGAGTAGGGTTCTAGAGTAGGATTGTGGACTAGAATTGTAGAGTAGGGTTATAGAGTAGGATTCTGAACTAGGATTATAGAGTAGGGTTCTAGAGTAGGATTGTGGACTAGAATTGTAGAGTAGGGTTATAGAGTAGGAGTATAAATCAATAAAATTTCTGAAATTTTAACTCATCTGGAAGATTGCTTTCTTTTTTACCCTGTGAATAAACTCAGCATTTCCTTCTGACTTATCAGTTGTCTCTTCAAGGTGCAAAGTGATATTCATGTCTTCTTTGGTGTGCTTTGAAAGTGGGGAAGGCTCTTCTTCAGTCATCCTCTCCAAAGTGCACTGCCTTTGGAATTTGGCTCACTGGCTGGGTTTTGCCCAGCTGTGTGGTATGTCTAATTGAGGCAGAAAGGGCAATGGCATTTGCAGGTACAAGCATTAGAGGTGCGGAGCAGCCGAAACATCCTGTGCAGATGCAGGCCTTCAGCTGTGACTCCAGAGCATTTGGGTTCCTGCCATTTGGATTTTTATCCCTGTGGTGGTTCCACATTGATTGATATTTGGAGAAGGAAGAAACCACCTATGGAAGAGATTTTTCGGAGAGAAGCTGCTGGGAGCTCCTGTGCCCGGGAAAGGTCAATAGCTGGCTAGTGCTGAGAAGTGACAACATTTTGAACCATTTAGAAATTAGGTCTGCCTCTGTGAGATCTACATTTTAAAAAATAAAGCTTGGGAAATCTCTCTCTTGGCTTCCGGACCCAGAAGGTGACGGAGCTCTGGTGAGGCCGGCCCTGCTCGCCCACGGCCTGTGCTCCTGGGGGAGGCTGGGCCGGACCCCAGTGGCTCCTGGAGGGGGGATGGAGGCTGCAGAATCCCAGCCCCAGGCAAGGCTGGGCCACAGCTGCTGACATCTCGCTGACACTAAACCCTCTCCCCAGCACACACCGAAGGCTCCAGGCCAAGCCTCCCCTCCCAGCAGCTGCCGGGCAGAGAGAGGGGCCCAGGGCAGCCTGAAATCATCATCATAATTGCTGCAGCCACTGCCCACGACCATCTGCAGACCTGGCAAGATTTAAGCCTTTCATTTAACCCTATCAGTGCACAGATGAGAACTGCAGACCACCATTCTCCCCTCAAGAGAAAAGGACAAAGTGGGGACACGTAGAAGACAACATGAAGACACTGGGGTCAGTAAAGTAAGAATCAAAGAAGGTGAATGAGGAGATGTCTCAGTGTTGGGCTGAAAAATTCTTTTGGTAGGGCTATGGAGATAGAAAATGATACCTGGAAATATCTCCTTCAATTCATGAGACAGGATGGGGGAATGAAGCATTCAAACTGTGCATGTGAACAGAGGCATGCACTGATAAGAAGTCAAGCAGATGTTGCAGTAGCTGTGATCCCATGAGAAGTCTGAACAGAGAGGGAGAGAGATGAGAGTGAGGAAGACCTTTTGTCCCCAGGGAGAGAAGAAGAAAAGCTCTGTTCCCAGAGGTGATGACAGAGACAGATGAAGGGAACATTTGCCTTTGAACAACTCATCCTTAAAATAATACCCCATGGGTTCATAGCCCATGAAGACACTTGTAGCAGGGCTGTGAAAATGGGAAGGATTTCACAACTGCAGAACTTAACCTGGGCAGATGCTATCTGTGGAAATGAAAAGCCATGAGAGAACTGTTTCTTGTAGAGAAGTCTCGGTGGCATGGCAAGAGAAATCTTCTCTCCCTTCACGAACTGACAGAGGAGTATTGTATTGTTGGTACTGATTTAACATCCCACGTTTTGTGACTATGCTGTCAGTTGGAAAGGAAAGAAGTTAGTCAGGGGGAGGAAAGGAGTCCTGGAAGTATTATTCTGATGCTTCTCCTTCTTGTAGTCCTGTTAATAAAGTTTCTTTATACCTTTGAAGTTTTGAGCCTGTTTTGCCCTTCTCCTAATCCATATCTCCCAGCAAAAACAAATGAGTAAGTGCACTGGTGATTTTAGCCAGTGCTAAACCCACCACATTATTTAGTAATTATAAAATAGAATTATTACAAGAAAAATAATTGTCCTGGTGTGACTATATATGTCTTGAGTTCTGCACCTTTAAGGTTTGCTTTGGGAGCTGGGGGGAAGTTGAAGCTGCTGGAGGCTGATGGGACTTTTTTCTCCTGACCAATTACTAGTCATTTCTGAGAACTCCCAGTGATTCTGACCATTGAAAAGTGAGATCAACTTGTGAATACCTATTGTAAGGCTTAAGACTGGGAATTTCTTGTTCTCTTTGGTTTCCATCTTTTGAACAGGTGCTCCGGCTCCGGCTCAGCCTCTTCCTCCCCAACCAGGCCGGACAAGGCCGCGGAGGGTGGGGGGAAGGAGAAGAGCGGAGGCGGCCGGCCTGACTTGGTTTGCAGTTTGTGCCACTGAACTGAAACCTGACTCCATGAACATCGGCAGCTTTCCAAGACTTGAACTCTTTTACTACCTGGATGAGACTTACAGATTAATCCTTTTTTCCCAGAGTGAGGGGAAGAGAGAGAGGGGGATAATCAACATGAAGAAGACATGATAAAACCATCAAAGTCAGTGAAGAAAAGAACTAAGTTTTAGATGGGGAAGAGAGAATAAGGAGATGCTTTAATAAGCTGAAATATTTTTCTGTTAAAGCTATAGAGATGGACAATAGTGTTCTGAAAATAAAATTCCTTTAATTCATGACAGAGTATATTGGGAGGAATAGAGTGTTTCAAAGTGTGGATTTTGAGCAAAAGGTGGAGTAGTTGTGATACAGTGATGTGCTGGAACAGAGGGGGAGAAGTAATAGTTGAAGATTTGTGGCTTTGTAGAGGCAAAGAAAAACCTTCTGTTTCCAGGGAGGCTCAGAGAGACAGATGAAGAGAACTTTTGCCTTTGAATAACTCATCCCTAAAAATGACATCCCTAGAATCATTTGACCCATAACCCACCTCAGAGTGATGTGAAATGGGAAGAGACAATTGATGGCAGATTTTCAGGCAGCTAGCAGCAGAGAAATAGAAAGCTATGAAGAAAATTAGTTCTCTTGTGAAAAACTCCATAGATTAGCAGAAGAAGACTTCTGTTTCTCTATAAGGACTGATGAAAAGACTATAGCAAGAATTAGGACTGTTGCAAGCACCAAAGTTGTTTTTTTGTCTCTATATTGTCAGGTGAACAAGGGAATGGTTGGGTAGTGGTGGAGAAAAGGGTTTTCTGGAGGTTTTATTCTGGTTTTCTTATTCTTACAGTTTTTGATAATAAACTTTCTTCATTCCTTTTAAGTTTGCAGCCTGTTTTGCTCTTGTTCTAATCCATATCTCCTAGCAAGAAATAAGTAAGTTTTCTAGTAATATTTTTAGTTACTGCTTTAAAACCACAACATTTATTTGGTGTGCTGGCCGGGAAACAAAATTAGCAAATCTAAACCACTACACCAATTAATTTATTATTCTTGGTGTTTGCCAAGAAGCTGAAATTAGCAAATCTAAACCACTACAATCCCTAAGTGCAATCTCTTTGGCTGGATGAGAGACTTGCTCAAGTGAGAAAGCAGAAAGATCAGTGGTGGTGCTCTGCAAGGTCTCCTCTGGTGCAGGGCTGTCAGCGACTGGGAGGTGAGAGCAGGCTGTAAGAGACGGTGCGAAGTTTCCCTCATCTGCCTCACAACCATGGCAAGAACAGAGACCGAGACCCTGAAGACCACAAGGGACTTTGTGCAGAGCTTCTGACCTGGTTGAGGTGGATGTTTGCTAAGTGATTGTTTGGAGGTGTGCTTGACCTGACACCAGCTTTCCAGAGCAACAGGTCACAGCACAAGAGTGATGTGGTGCTGGTGAGCAGGGACTTGTGAAGAGCGGCCTGCTCTGTGCCTTACACCGGCTTCTCAGAGCAAGGGGTCACACCACAATAGCCTATAAATCTCCCCACCTTTTGGCCAACTGCCCCTCACTTTGAAACAGACTATAAAAGTGACTTTTCTAAGTTACTTTTTGAGAGAGAGATGTCCCCACAGAAGACACCAGCGACCCCATCTTGTCTGTTGGTAGCTATAACCCCCGCCTTTTTTCTCTCTCTACTTTGCTTCTTTATCCCTCCCTTCGCTCTCTCTCTCTCTTTTTCTCTCCCTCTCATCTCTCTATTGCATAACCCATGTTGCTGGCACTAAAATAAAGGTACATTGTTGCTGTTATGATTTAACCTGAAATTCCTTGGTGTCCTTTTTGCACTCGGAGATCATACGAACCTCTCACAACTCCCGCTTGTGTTAGAGGATTGTGACAGAGGCCCTGCCATATTTGATCCATGTTTGAGCAGGTCAACAAGACAATGAAGAAAACTGTATCAGTTACGGGGTGAGAACTTGACCCTTGCAAGACAAACAATGGATAGGTCAATGGGTGGGCAGTTAACTTTTGAAAGAGGAACAGTTCATAATGGAGCCATTGTTGGCATGGAGTCGATATTCTGAGCCATCGTGGTCTCATCTCACGTGCCAGCCATGTGGGAGCTGATGCTGTCACTGGGAAAATTCCACTCCTGAGCAGGAGATATAAGGCCTGGCTCTGGCTTGGAGTGATGAGAAGGACAAAATGCAGACGGATTTGATGCTGGGGATGACCTGAAATTGCACTGCCTACCTGCCTCTCCTGCCGAGCACCATGCTTCATCTCCTTCTCCTGCTCAGTGGGTTTCTGGGAATCCAGGGGTTGGTATGTATTATTTGCTACTGCAACTAATGGAATAAATTTTCTTTGCAACCCCCACTGTGTCTTGGCTTCTTTTCTACATGGGTCTCCTTCTGAAGCTATGACAATGACTACCAGAGAGCTTCAGGACAAGCCTATTTCCATTTCAATATATTCTGAGACAGGATTTAAATATGTCAAGTAATCTGGGGAAATGGTTAGCCTGTGAGTTTCAGCAAAATATTGACTATGTCTTAGTTATATGGATACAAACTAGTAGGTAAGATTGCTACATGTGCACAATTTAGGGAAGGGATTCTCCACACACTCTGCACTGAAATAGAGTAATATTTCCTTTCGAACCCTGAGCTGGCTGTGGGGATTGGGCCCTGCTTGGTCACTTTCATTTTGGCCATTTCTCTTGAGCAGGTAAGAAAGATCAAAGCAAAACCTTTTCCAGCTGTTTCTCTCTGGTTTACCTTTTGGGGGGCCA